CTGGAGTCGCTGGTCTTCCGACACCATAAAACTAAATTCTAAGCGCGGTATGTGGATGACACTTTCGTCCTCATCCAACGGGATCAGGTGTTCACGTTCAAGGAACATGTCAACAGCGTCTTCCTGGACATCCGGTTTATGATGGAGAAGGTAGAGAACAATCAGCTGGCCCTCCTTCATGTCCTTGTCTGTCGCAAAGATTGTGGTTGTCTAAAGACTAAAGTATTCAGGAAAGTGACAAACACGATGCAAGTACTGAATTACAAAAGCAACCACCCAATCAGCCACAAACGCAGTTGCATAGGGAGTTTCTATCAGCGTGTTGGGTAGCATTGCAGCGAACAAGAAGATAAAGTTGCAGGGGTAGAATACCTCCGATGGGTGTTTAGAGAAAATGGCTGGCCGCGCAACTTCTTCAACTGGTGGTTGCGCAAACCAGGTGGCCAACAAAGGCGCACTGATCCCACCATTTGGCGAGCGATCCCGTACGTCAAAAACGTATCGGAAACTGTCGGCCGCCTTCTCGCACCACTTAAAGTTCGAGTCGCACACAGGCCGAAGGCAACCATACGGCGTCAGATAACGATACCGAAAGACCCACTGCCACGGCAAGAAATAGCTGGAGTCGTCTACAAGACCTAGTGCAATTACAGGCAGAGCAAATATGTCGGAGAAATTGGCAGATTTCTCAAGACACAAATGGCCGCACAAGCGGCAGCAGTGCGGCGAAATGATGCCAATTCTCAAGTTCCGGATCATTAGACGAGACCTAGCTACATATTAAATTTGATGAGGCCGAAATTCTCGCATGAGGTGACAATCGGGTGATCCGTGAATTACTTGAGTCATGGTTCACAGCTCCCCAATCCATAAACAAGTGCAAGTATTTGCTCAATCCTTATTCGGTGCTGAGATTCAATTTGGCCAAAGCAAGTCGCCACTTGGGGTACGGACTGGCCTACGCAAACACAACACGGCCAGATTGCCAGACAATCATCAAGCCCCAGTCCACCGCGCGTGATGGAATTTCAACAGCTCAGAACTCGCGTGGCCTTCAACCATCTACCCGCGTACAAGAGGGCAATTAAAGTTAATTGTCGCTCTATTTTGTAGCAATGACTGTGTCCTATAAATACCCCTGTGCATGTATTACCCGCTTCAATTACTGCTCTTGGATTATATCTCTGATGAAGAATCCGCGACGA